GTTTACCTGAACCAAAACAACCTCCAAGAACGAATACTAGTAGTTTACCTGAACCAAACAAACCTCCAAGAACGAATACTAGTATTTTACCTGAACCAAACAAATCTCCAAGAACGAATACTAATATTTTACCTGAACCAAACAAACCTCCAAGAACGAATACTAGTATTTTACCTGAACCAAACAAACCTCCAAGAACGAATACTAATATTTTACCTGAACCAAACAAACCCTCCAAGAACGAATACTAGTAGTTTACCTGATACCACGCACGCCAGTGGGTGGGTTGGAGGGCGACAACGCGGCCAAAGTCCAAAATGGCGGTGGGGAGCGCCAGGAGCTCTTGCAGGCAGACGCCGCGGGTGTACCACGCGTCCGTGTCGGCCGGGTGTTGGGCCACTGGGGGAATCAGAATCAGACTCGGACAAACGCGACGAGATATCATGAATTAATTTGATACATATTTCCCAATTCTGCGCGATTCGAAAAAATCCATTACAAATCTCGCCGCGATATATTTTTTGATTGGCGTTTCCCATTCCGCAGAAACCATGAAGCAAAAAAATAGAAGAGTAATTTCAGATGGACCAATGGGAGCGATTCGTGATTGGTCGGCGTGGTTTGATTGGGCAGGGTTCGGGAATTCGTACCAAAGCAATAATATACTTGGAAGGGCAATTCGACTCCAATAACGTCAATATATTGGAGATTATTTCTGAAAGAATCGTAAGAAATGTATAGTAGTAGTACAGTAGGGGTGACAGGATCCATCGAAGCTCGTGTCCAAGACTGACTCAAAGTATACGTCTCCGTCGAATCAGAAGAGGCAAACCATGAGACACCGCGCGACTCAGAAAAACAAGATCGTCGGGAATCAGAAAATACGTAGAATTAGACGAGTATGCAGTGTTGTGAATTCACTGTAAACTTGCAAAATTCGCCTGGTTTGTCTAATCAATATTGAATCACGCCAGAGTTGTGATTGGTTGAATATACTTGTCCTTTACGTAAGAGAGCCAATCAAATAATCCATTCAAAACTGGATTCGCCAATAGCGTCGATAATTCGTGATTTGATTTTCGGCGGCGAGATCATTCGATTCGACAGGGTCTGGAGATTCGTATCCACAATATATATATATATATAGCCGCAACAATACGCACATGCTTCGGTGAGTTCGACCACGGCCCGCTTAACATTTCCTTGAAGGTAGTAGCAGTACCCAATGCTCATTTGAACGTGGGGGTAGGCTGGCAGTTGATTGCGAACCTACCCAAGTGACGAATAAAGATCTGGTACGTTATGATGGGAATAGTGTACGGTCAAAAACTCGGCCAGCGCCAGGTCAGGAAGGCACTGCTGTGCCCGCAGACTTCCTTTCAAGAAATGCGCGACCAAGAACTTTGGGTCTTGTCTACGCCCAATCATAAACCATCGAGTGTACGACCCAGTATGTTGAAGTGTACGACCCAGTGTGATGAAGTGTACGACCCAGTATGATACACATTGTACTACCTCAAGCACTTGGTCCACAGATCCAACGCCAGTGAACTCTCCCCCAACAGCGCGTGCATTCTCCCTGCCGTGACCAATTAATATGGAAACACTCTCTAACAATCAAGTATATATATATATATAT